TGTCCTAGCCATCAACCCCCATATTTTCATCCAGTGTCTTCAGACGTAATTTAGCTGAGAATAGGAAGAGTCCATTTGCCAAAATCGGAAATACTGAATATATTTAGTTTCTTTCAATTGCATTCCTGTCATGAGAGACCCACAACATTCCTGCCCACCAAATTTTGTAATTATAGAACTCTTACAGCATTGAATGGAACGGACTCAGGCTGAGACTAATCTGAGTGTCCAGTGGTTTGGAATGTCATAGGAAAGAAAATAAAGCAGAACAGCTCACTGGTAAATACCAGCACATGCAGATTTTACTTTAAAAAAAAAAATATCTTCTGAAGTACAGTTCTCACACATATGATTAAAAAGCCCACTCAACAGAAAAAATGCAAGTTATCCATTTAAACATGCTAGACCCCCATTTTGCTTCCAGGATAGTTATCAGAGCTCTGCAAGGGAATATGCTCCAACATGTCTTCTATCCATACAGCAAAATCTCTGGGTTAGGTATCAAGGTGCTTAAGGGTAACAGACACTGTGCTCACAATTGATGTCCACCTGAACCTCCACTGACACAGCTTCAGGCTGTTTCTCTTGTCCTGTTACTGGCTGCCTGAGAGAACCCCCACTTGCTACAAGGAAAGAGAGAATCTACACTGCCTTCCCAATGAATTTAAACTCTTAAGGTATGAAGCCAGTGAATTTACCAAAGCTGACCTCCCAAGACACCTGTCAGCTGAGACCTGTGCTGTGAACATTCACTGCTTCTCATGGCCATGCTATAAAATAATTCAGTTAAACTATTGTTGTTCTGGTAGTGCAGATTAGCTTCTCCAACATTCTTGCAGCTCATCACAGCTTGGCCAGCCAGCAGCACAGGAGACACCTGGACAGCTCCTGGTTTCTTCCCCCAAAACCTGATGAGGAACCAGGGCAAGCTTCCCTTCCATGACATGGAAAACTCCTCCTGTAGTGCTCAACAAAAAGCTGGGTGAGCAAATGGATTGCAGGGTAAGTAAGGAGGAGGAGGAGGAGGACATGAAGAAGGGCTGAGCCATCCACCCACAGCAGCTCAATTTCACTGAGAAGCAAATTGCAAATTAAAGATGCTGCTCCCTGCCTCCCAGGGGCCAGGTACACAGGTGGGAAGGCTGCGGATGTTATGGTACCATTACTTTAAAATCAACTCTTCCCCCAAAAAAAGCATATTAGTTGGAGATGGTAATGTTTCATTAGTTAGCAACACACAGACTATGACAGCAGAATAATCAGGCCATTTAAGTTTGAGTGTGTAGATTTGGTTTCTCATAACAAATAGATTATTTGGATACATTCCCATGATTTGCCATGTTTTTTACCCACTTGCTGTGGCTTTCCATTACCATCTTTAAGACAGAAAAATAAGCAGAAGAACTAACACAACTTGAGACTTCACACATATCTATTAATCTTGAGCTATTCTGGATCCAGCAAACGTATTTCAGTCAGTCAGTCAGTGCAAACCCTTGCATCCTTAAGTTGTACAAGTTTACTCATGTATGTTAGCATAAATGTATGACAAATTTTGGCAGAACCAAGGCATTAAGGTATTTCTACCATCTTTTCCATGATATTTAGCTTACTTTGAAACTCACTTGGGCATATGAAACACTTAATGAAAACATAATAGGCTTAATTTTGCAAGTGAAAGTGAATTTTCTTTAAGAAAAATGGCATAAAATGACAGCTGAGATCAGATGGGAACTGAGGATGAATGCTTTTTATCCCTTATTTAAAATCCCCCTTGGCTTTGTCCTGCTGAAACCACTAGATATGTTGTTGCTGATTTCCACAGACCCAGGAACAGTTTTGTTTTTTTTATTTAAGCAGTTTATATGCATAAGCAGAAAACAGAAAGGTGAAAGAATGCTTTTCAGAGAAGTAAAGTTCTGCCAAAGATAATCTTATTAGTTGTAAAAATGTTCTTGTGAAGAAAACAACATGTCAATAAAGGTCACTGGACAGTGAGAGACACATCTGTCAGATGATGCTTCACGTTCAAAAAAACCGTGGACCTAAGAACACATATGTGACCTGCTGCTGAAACTGAAATACCCTGTGCATTCAGACATTCCATTAAAAAAATTATTTATGAATAGTGGCATGAACTTAGCAGCAACCTTTCTCTTCCTAGGCCAGTAGACAGGCTTGTCATATAAAATGCAGAAGTCAGGGAATTACAATGAAAAAAAGGTGAAATAAGCAATCCATTTTATTCTCCTGGTCTCATAACAAAGTTAGTAAGGACACTGTGGCCTCATATACAGAAATCCCAGATCAGTGGGGCATGCCTGCTTTAAAACCTGACTAGAGCTGGGCCAGGTGTCCCCACCCCTGCAGCCCCAAGGTACCAGCTGTCCCAGGGCAGGATTCATCCAGCACCAGCTGCAAACCCCACCTTCAACATGTCCCTGGGGATGCCACCACACCAATCCAGCTTGGGACAGGTGCAGGAGGTGCTGCCCAGAAGTTATAATTTTGAAGGGGTTCTGAAAAGGAAACTTCCATGGCATTTTTACTTCTCTTTGCTCCTTTAAAGATTAAGGTAGCAGGGGAGAAAATAGTTCCCACATACACCTCCTAGTGCATAATCCTGTTGCTTCCACAGTGGCTCTAGAGCAGTATTTCCTAAAAAGGGCAATTATACTGAAGGTGTTGGAATGAAGGTAAAGAAAACTGATTTTGCAATGAACATTTATTTGATTCCCAACTAAGAGGATGGGAATTTTTAAGTACTACAACCAAAACTTTCAATGTTCATTTTCATTAGGCAGTCATCTGTTTGGTTTTCTTTTACAGCTGAGTAAAATCATTATTGTGATGTATTTTATTTCCCTAGTTGAATAGAAATGGAACTACAGATTTGCTATTGAGAATACAATAATTTGAATAATGGGACCTTTCAAAGTTATAATATTATAAACAGTTACTTCCTTTTCACCCAATAAAATGTGGGTTTTTTCACCTCCTCAAGCACACTTGCTTTGCTGCAGCCACGATGAAGCTGCAGACACAAAAGAAAATACTTTGCTTCCAAAAAAATGAACCTTTTCAAATAAACACTAAATAGGAAGCAAACAACTAAATCTTTTACTAATAATGCTATTTTATAATGAGACCAGACTGAATGACCATTAGGATGCATCCCTAAAATAAGAGGAGGAATAAGATCACAATTGCACAACTGCAAAACATGTGCAGTTTCCTTTAAAATATAGATTAATGTAATTTGTACGCGTCTTTGCTGAACATCTAAGTTCATATTTATATAATGTCTTGAAAACAGAAACTCTGAAACTAGGGAGTATCAGGTTAAATGACAACTGACATAAAATACTACCAATTCACAATGACAGCATTGACCCACTGACCCACTACAGGATCACAGGATCCTGCTACTGGCTTCACCGCCTCACCACCGTGACATCCCTGCCAAAAAAAGGGTTGACTATTTAAAAATGCTAGGAGTCACACCAAATTAAGAAAGAACCCAGTAATTTGCAATATGCAGTCTGAAGATGCACTGTGCTGTGTGTTTTGATGACACATAGATCCGAAAAAAATGCCCCAAATGTCCCCCACCTTTGCATAGATTCAGTGAAAAAAAGGAGAACCTGCTTAGTTTTACATGTCAGAAATCATGGTGTGAGTCTTGGACTCAGTCAGGAAACTCTGCACAGGAAACCTTATGGTTTTTATACTTCCTGAGAGACCTTATAAAATCTGGACAAGATGTATAAAAGGGATATGCAGCAAATTTATCCTTAATTAGTGTGATCACATATTATCTCACTGTCCACTGATGCTACAAATCCCAAAATCTTTGACATCATGATTTTTTTAGTAGCTTAAAATTCAAGCATCAAGATGAAATATTGCTAAGAGTAACTCTTGATTTCAAGATTTCATAATAATCCATTTTTTAAAGCTGCTAAAATTCTTCACTACCTTTCAACATTAGCCAGCATCATGCCCAAAGTTGCCACCCGCATGTTGACACTCCATCACAACTGGTAGACGTTAACAACTTTTATACTCAAAGCAAACAGGGAGATATGGGAGCTCAGGGTAAGATGCAGCCTTTGCCCATGAAATGTACATTTGGTAATCTGGTGCTATCATGGTGCCTAGTTTGGCTTTGGATCTGATATTTGACCTGTGTAAGGTAACCATTTTACAACCATTTTACAAGGACTTCCCACTGCAACAATGGGGATGTTTTATTGATGCATCTAATTATTACTAATTATGGTAAGTTCACCTGCAATGGAAATGGAAATGCTGCTTTCTGATCCCAGTTCTCCAGAAGGCACTACTAAACATTAAGTGGGAAACCTCATCACCATGAACAGGATGGAGAATTTCTTAAAACACTAAAGTTTATTCTTCTTCTGCTACAAAGGGCTCAGCATAACCAGCTCAAAGAGCAATTGCTACCAGGAAACAATGCCGCATTTCTTGAGAACATTCATCTACACGGTATGGTATCTGCCGGCCGACATCGACGATATCCAAGTTAAATTAATAAATATTTGCATTGCGAAGCTGGATTTGTCTTAGAATACAATTGCTCCTCATGTGGCTCCAACACACATGCATTGTCAAATAAATCACAGTTCACTAGGTGTGCACATTAAAAATAATTTGTCTATCTTGTTAGAAGCCATCACATACTTCACTTTAAAAGGTGTGAAACTGGGAGGGGAAGGTTTTACAGGCCTGGAACAACTACACATGGTACAGCCGAGGGAACCTCAAATATCCGACCCTCCAGCGCCGCGGATGCCAGCTCCCGGCACCAGGGCTTCGACGGCCCCGCCGCACGGGGCGGACACGCGGGGTCTCGCCGAGCCGCGCAGCCACCACCGGGCGGACGGTGGCGAACAACGGGGAAGGGGACAGGAACGGAGACGGGGGCGAAGGCGAGGGCGGCGCAGCGGGTGCCCGTCCCCGGGGGCGAGCGTGCCTACCTCGGATTTCCACACGACGTAGGCGGCGGGGCGAGGCTCGGGCGACGAGGGCTGCCCCTTCCTCTGCTGCAGCCAGCGGCGGGGCGAGGAGAAGATGCTGTTGGCGGGGCTGGCGGTGCCGCTCAGCGCCAGGGCCGAGGGGGTGCGCGCCAGGAAGGGCAGCTCGCAGCCGGGGCTCCGCTTCCCGCGGAGGTTCTCCTCGTCAAAGAGAGCGCTGCCCGGCGGCGACCGCTCCAGTGGGGTGCTGGGGGTGGAGAAGGAGGCGCCGTGGGGCTGCGGGGCGCCCCGAGGACCGCGGCGTTCCCCCGGGGGGCTGCCGGCGGCCC